AAAAAAATCTACTAAGTAAACAGATATTCTCGTTGAAAAATTTCATTTTAATGGCAAATATAAAGAAAAGTAGAATATATTTACATCTAATTCTCGAATTTTATTCCAATTAGGTTTCAAATAGAATGTAATACCAGCTTGAGCACCTAAGTAATATATTAGTACGTAATTAATCAATAAACAAATAGAAAAATTTTACCCGGTAAAGTTACACCACGTATAATTAGAGCAAATATAACAACATAAGGAAATAATGCAGTAAAATAAACAACCTATTTGACGTCAATCATATTGAATAGAACGATCTTTTTAAATCTTTTTACTTTGCCTGATGATTTAATACCCTGAATAATACAAAGACCAACAAGAATCCAAGCTAATAATAAACATAATGATAAAGACCAACTAGGTGAACCTATGTTATCAAGTGAATCACTTCGTCGTAAAACATAATTACTAAAATATAATTCATATTTATAAGAAACAAATACATACTATACTATCATACTCGAAATATTCTTCTGGTGGAAAAATAGGCTTTGTACAATTTGTTCGATTATGAATATTATTACAGAAAACAGTCGAATTTGAAAAGAGTAATGTTTCTATAAAAGGATAAATAAAATTTCTTTTCTATGATTAAGAAAACAAAAGTGATATTTTCCTATTGTAACACAACGTTCAGTATTCCACCAATTTCCACAATCACTCCATTGAAGTTTACGTCGAAATGAAGCAAAAAAATAGAAAAGACACCAAGCTATTATAATATTATAATAGATTGAAACTAAAAATGAATTTATTGCTGTTGCCCAGCCGAGTCCTTTAAAACACAAGATAGTATTTATCATTGATACAGTTATTTATAAATTATCTATTTACCTTTGAACATGCGTGACATTTTAAAAGCAGCTGCTGAACCACTACTAGTAAATTGACCCAGTGACATTTCAAGAAAGAAAAGCGGTGTACCAATAAGAAAATATACACAAAAATATGGTATAACAAAAGCACCTATTAGTCTTATTAATAGTTATAGATCAATACAAAAAGTCTTTGAAGAAATAGTTACCTCCACCATTTTTGAACGCTAGAAAAAAAACTATGAAATATGACAGATATTTATTCTTTCATTATATATTTACCCATGTATGGATATCTCCAAACATTACCAAGACCTTACATACATGTAAATTGAAATGTTAGATAGAAACTTTTCTTTACAGTTTCTGGCTAAACTTACCAATTGAACAACCAATTAATGAAAGAAAAAACTCCATTGGTCGATCCCATTCTTCTCGTTCTTCTTCTTTGGGTTTTGAGATTTTATTCTAAAACTTTCCACAATATGAATCAAATTAGAATTTCAATTAACCTACTTCATATGATGGTTCGGATATTTTACGAAGTGATAGACGAGCTTTCAGGCGATCAAACATTATCAAAATAAATGAAATTAAT